AAACCCTAAACCCTAAACCCTAAACCCTAAACCCTTGGTCTTAAACAAGTAACGCTGGCGTGCCTTGAGCCTCCTAAACCCTAAACCCTAAACCCTAAACCCTAGGCTGTACACAAACCCCAGAGCTACGCAGCAAGCCCACCAACCAGGGGCCTCGGGGGCCCCTGAGGCAAATCCTATACAAAGGGGGGCCCCCGGGGGGCCCCCAGGGGGCCCCTCAGGGGCCCCCTGGTTACCTGGGTAGGGTTTGTTTGGGGGGCCCCTCTGCCGCTGCAGAGGATGGGGGGGCCCTGGTTGGATTTATATTTATTTGTTTGCTGCTGCGTGGTGTACAGGAGGGGCAATACCTTGAGGACACAGACAAGAGACTGCAGCAGCAGCAGCAGCAGCAGCAGCAGCAGCAGCAGCAGCAGCAAGAGGGGGCCTCAAGGGACGACAAGGAGTGATGTGGGGGCCCCTTGCTGCTTATTATCAGCAGGAGGTAATGAGTTGGGGGCCCCCTATTTGTTGTTTGTATAGGGGGCCCCCCTGTGTTTGTTTTTAATTTATTTTATTTTTTCTTTTTGCTGGGAATCGAACGCGAGACACACAAACTACGCCGTGCATGCAGCAGCAACTTGTATCTTCTGTGCTGCTGCTGATGGCTGGCTAAACCCCTAAACCTCTAAAGGAATCAAAGGGAGAGGGGCCCCCAAACTGTGTGCAGGGGGGCCCCCCCAGGGGGCCCCCCATAGGGGGCCCCCCTCAGGGGGGCCCCCCCAGGAGGCCCCCAAGTGCATCTACGGGGGCCCCCCAGCTGCGTAGGGGGGCCCCCAACTGCGTGTAGGGGGACCCCCAGCTGTGTAGGGGGGCCCCCCAGTCGCATGTATGGGGGGGCCCCCCAGCTGAATGTATGGGGGCCCCTGACCGGCCTGTGGGTGGGGGCCCCTTGGTTATTGTTTTGGGGTTTTAAGGAGACAACAGTGTAATATGATTTTATTTTAGTTTGATTCATGTAGGGTTGCTGCTGTTGCTGCTGCTGCTGCTGCTGCTGCTGCTGCTGCTGCTGCTGCTGCTGGAGTTGAGGCCTTCTGCTCGCGAGACCCGTGCGGGCGGGGCTGGTGGTGTTGCTGCTGTTGCTGCTGCTGCTGTTAGTATTGCAGTAATATAATATTATATTTAATAAATAAATAAAATATATTTATATAATTATATTATATTTTAATTATATAAAAGCAGCAGGAGAAGCAGTTGAGGCGCAGCAGCAGCCGGAGCGGTCCCCAAGACACTCGGAGTGACCCTACAGCAGCAGCAGCAGCAGCAGCAGCAACAGCAGCAGCAGCAGCAGCAGCAGCAGCAGCAGCAGTTGTGCTGCTATTTATTCCTATCAACGCTTGTCAGAATGTCCCAGATAGATAGCAGCAATACAAGCTTAGATTGTTTTAATTGCTTCGCTAGTCTAGGGTTTAGGGTTTAGGGTTTAGGGTTTAGGGTTTAGGGTTTAGGGTTTAGAGCCATGTTATCTAACCTAAACTCAGGGCTCAGGGGCCCCCGACAAATGGGCCCTAAACACCCATGATTAGAGTGGGGGCCCCCCACTGTACTCCCTAGGGTTTAGGGTTTAGGGTTTAGGGTTTAGGGTTTAGGGTTTAGGGTTTATTAGGGTTTAGGGTTTGGGCTTGAGAGAGAATCTACGGCGTTCATATATCTCGGACTACTAAGGAACCCAGCATCAGCAGCAGCAAGTGCTGCAGCAGCACCTGCTGCTGCTGTTGCTGCAGTACTTGTTGTTGCAGTTGCTGCTGCAGTTGCTGCTGTTGCTGCTGCAGCTGCTGCAGCACAAGCAAGCTTTTTGCTGCTGCAGCAAGCAGCAGCACTTGCTGCTAGCTGACGGGGCCCCCCTCCCCCCCCT